GCCTACTTCAAAATCAACTCACTTATGGATCCCATCGATCCCCGAGTGCGGTTAATCTACTTATTCCAGTGAATAAAGAAACTCTTCGAGTGGGGTCCAACGATCAAACGAGGGCAGAGTTGGTTAGCTACCGGAGAAGGAAGGGCCAAACTGGGAATCATTACATTCGGAAGAGAGGACTGATTTGAGTTCAACGGGTAGTCGTTCCTCCAACAAGAAAATATATAAATATGGAAAGTTCTATGCTATTTGGATCGGAAAATTTAGGGAGGAAATCGATTTTTCAGGCCCCTCTCGGGCCTCTAATATTTTCGATAGTTAAATTTGAAAATCGATATAAAGATCGGTGTTGAGCGTGGTGGCATTCCTAATCTAGGAACAAAGAAGGGAATGCTATAGAATTGGTGTAAATGTGTGTTATAAAGTCAAAGGTTGGTGGGTCAAAAAAGTAAGAACTTTTAATGAAGAGTTTGATTTTTGGTAGGAGAGGTTTGGAATGGTACAAGTAACTGCTTTTGGGTGAGCCAATTCACATAGGATTTTGATTCTTCATGAGCAGTTTAATTTGACTACTTCATTCAATGCATGTCATTGGAAGCCCTTCATTCATTTCCACCTTGGTTTAGTGCATTATGTTTCCAGTTCGGTATGAGTCGAGTTTTAGTTTATTTCGGTTTTCAATCTAATTTCAATGCTAATCCTGTTTTGATTTGATTTATTCAAGGTACTGAGAGACCATAATTTGATAAACGGAAACACATTTGATCAGGTAAGGAACGAACCTAGGCTTTCTTAAAAAAAATACTTGTAGGGATCGGTTAGAACTTGAGCAGAATTGGATGCTAATATGTTTTAGGATCAAATATGCTAAGAAATTTATGAAATGGAATTTTGAGAATGCCCACGTATGAACGTTGGGTAATCGCTATGTGACCTAGAGATATTGTGCAAGATATTGGAGCATTAGCCTTATGAATCACTATCCTTTGGTCCATGATCCACGTTACGGTTCGCTTGAGAATATATGGCTGGCTTAATACTAGGTAGGGATGGTTAAGACACAACCTTTGATTATGAACTTACCTCAATTAGTGAAGGTTATATAGGATAGTGGATTTTAACATCACCCACTTAATGGCACATATTCTTATGTGTACAGTTTTGCTAAATCCATTCCAATACATGAAGAAACGAATGAAAATAGAACCAACAATCATTATGATTTGCTTATTCCGAAAAATATCTTATTTAACAGCCAAGTCAAAGGTTAAGGTATCAGCATCTGAAAAAGGGGGTGTTGATCCTAGTTGAAAACTATGCCAGCACACTCCTTGATGTTAAGTGCACACTTGAAGGGGATTGAGTAGACATGGTGGATCCTAATAGTCCGGCACTCTGTGGAGTTGGTACCTGAGAGTGAAGATGGACATAAGCTTTAGTTAGAAAAACCTTGTTAGCTTGAAAACAAATAAATGGGTAGAGAAGCTCACCTCAGGAATAGTCCTATGTTCGTAGGTACCACTGGGAGAGGCGGTGGAATCTTTACAATCTCAGGCAGGGACAGACGAAGGAGAGCCACTTGAACTCCCTCTCCAGCCCGGGCTTGCAGTTCACTTGTTGAAGTGGTTTCAATGACAATTGGAGGTCTAGCTTGTTCTCCGTTCTTGTTTGGTTCAGCTCTTTTCCTTGGTTGTCTTTCTCCCTTGCCTAAGGCTGTTGTGCTTGTAGCTCAATCAGTTAATATTTCAATTCCTCAAAACAATAACAATAAAACAAGAAAAAGAGAGGTGTCTTTCCGAAGACTATTTGTTTATACAAAGATAGGCTGATTCAAGCGCATACGCCATTGATACCAGACTCAACAAAGACTGAGGATGGGATTCTCTTAGACGGAAGTGGCCAAGAATCATCACCCAAAACCGAAGAAAGAAAGACAAACAATATTTCCTCCTCAACTATTCATAGCCTGAAATGACATAGAATAGTGAGCTTGTTGGGTTTCATGGAAGTGTATTTCCTCCTCAACTATTCATGGCCTAAAATGACATAGAATAGTGAGCTTGTTGGGTTCCATTGAAGGAACTTCCAATTGGCACTCAATAGTAGACACGTAAAGAATCTATTAGCGAGGTCATGAGGTTGCTAATAGGATGGCTTGATTCGTACCTGTTAGATCCACTCTAGAGCTTGACATTTGATGGGGGCACTCAGTTCTTCTATGCAGATCACGTATGGACTTATTATGCGGACCAAAGTGATGGATATTCAATTGGCTAAATGCACTTAAAACCTCAAGTAACCCTGATGGGTGTGTTAGATGAACAGACTCTCCATAATAGTATGATATTGTCCACTTTGAGCATAAGCTCTCATAGCTTTGCTTTGGGCTTCCCCAAAAGGCCTCATACCAATGGAGAGAGCATTCCTCAATTATAAACCCATGATCATTCCCTAAATTATTCGATGTGAGACTTTCATCATCCAATAGGGTGCAGTATGCCTTAGAATAGGAATGACGAGGGCTGAAATGAATGAGTCTGATGGGGCTAAATGACTCATATCCATAGAATGAGAAGGACAAGTTACATACTAGCTTGATAGGATTTGATAATAAGACCATCGAATCGACTATTTCTAGGACCACAACATTGACACATAGCACTAAGAACATTGAATAGGAGATTAGATCCAACAAAAGCCTACAAGTAAGTTTCTTTACCGAGTACTTCTTACACTCATGGTGCTGTTTTCTGTCTCGCAAATAATGAAGTATTCAGCGATCAACGGAATCACACGTAATAATGTACATAAATGAAGATCATGACTAAAATCAAGGCATCCAAGAGTGGAAGAAGAGAGCATTGGAACAGGAAAAAGCAAACCAAAAGTTCCAAAACTTATCTCCAACTAAACAAGAACACTTCCCTTCCATGAGCCACCATGGTTCAAAAAGAAAAGAAATAAAAAAGCGAACCCTAGCTGACCCCTACCAATACTAAAGCCACCTCAAAATATATACACTACACCACAATCCCACAAGACTCAAACATTTCCACAAACAATGGAGCAAACCCTCTTCCCTTCTCCTCATGCATTGCTAATTCTCACAATATTCTTCTTCTTCCTTTCGCCCTCCATCGCCGACCAAGCTTGCCAAAAGAGCTGCGGCGACATCCCGCTGCGTTACCCTTTCGGCAGCGGCACCGGCTGCGGCGACCCACGCTTCCACCCTCACATCACTTGCAACGACCATCAACAGCTAACCTTCACAACTCATACCGGCTGCTACCCCATCTCCTACATAGACTATGCCAACCAAGTCCTCTACATAACCGACCCCACCATGTCTACTTGCAGCTGCAACCAGCCTAGCAAGGGCTTCGGCCTTGACTGGGACGCCCCGTTCACGTTCCACGGCGATACCATCTTCGCCCTACTCGACTGCTCAAGCGCCTCTCCTGTTTACTCCCCGAATGGAATGTTCAACGACCGAAACAACTCGTCTCGGGTCGCTCTTTGCGATAACCGTGGATTACCCATTTGTGGATTCTTGTATGGGTGCAAGCCAATTGTTAGCCTCAATATTCCAATCTCTGGATGCTGTGTTTACACGCCTGTGAATTTTGGGCCATCTTTTGAAATGGACTTGGAGAAGCTTAAATGCGGTTCTTATTCTGGGTTTTATAGCTTTAATGGTAGAGAGTCGGATGCTGATAGCTGGAAATATGGAATTGCTATCAAATATAAGTTTGCAATTGATAATGTTTATCCAAGTTGGTGTTCAAGTTGTGAACAAAGTGGTGGGGTTTGTGGGTACTCAGGCCCTCTTGATTCTTTTATATGTAATTGTCCTCCTGGATTCAACACCACCACCAATTGTTTCTTTGGTGACTCCTTCAATGGCGCTTCAAAGTTTCTTCCAAACCAAAAATCATGTAAGTTCAATTACACCTCCCTTTTAACTTATCATCTGATGAGGAGAGCGTTAGCTAATTTAGGGAATAATCATGGGTTTGTAAGTAATGAATACATGTTCATTGGTCTGAGGCTTTTTGGGAAGCCTAAAGCAAAGCCACGAGAGCTTATGCTCAAAGTGGACAATATCATACCATTATGGAGGTTTATGGTTTCTAACATGGTATTAGAGTCATGCCCTTAACTTAGCGATGTCAATAAAATCCTCAAATGTTGAACAAAGAAGTTGTGAGTCTCAAAAGTGTAGTCAAAAGTGACTCAATGGTGTACTTTGTTTGAGAACTCTAGAGAAGGAGTCGAGCCTCATTAAGGGGAGACTATTCGAGGGCTCCATAGGCCTCCAAGAAGGTTCTGGGAGGATTGTTAGGAGAGAGTCCCACGTGGGCTAATTTAGGAAATGATCATGGGTTTATAGGATCTACTTATACCCAGTGAACAATATCATACTATTGTGTAGAGTCGTTATTCCTAACATATCCTTATTTCATCCTTGTACAGGGATTTGGCTAGCGGTCGGTTTGATCTTCAAGGATCTAAAATTTTAGAGCTCGAGAAGAAGTTGATGGGAAAAATAAAAGTATTAGTTAATTATGTATTGAAGAAGTTGTTTGTGTTTCCAAATAAGATCAAATTTGGTGTCCAAAGCTGTTAATTGAAGTAGAATTTTCAGCTTTATTATTTTATTAATGAATGGAACATAAAAAAGAGAAGGTAATGGAATCAGGTTCCCCTTTTTGTTGAGGATAATGATTCTATATCATCCACTACGCTGTGAATTGCTTCATTTTCTCATGCTTTATTGAGCATATTCCTCAAAGTAACGACATAAAGACTTCCATAAAGTTTTATTCTTCGCAACCTTTGCATTATTTGAAGCACTTTTGATAACAGGAGCCAACTTTGGTTTGGTAGATAATCATCCGGGTTTATATATATATATTAAGATACGTTTGATAAGAAAATGTATTGAATTTGGGAAAATGACTCGATGCAACATTAGTCGTCGTTGTCATATTGCGACGTAGAGAGATGGGGTCGTCTGAAAAGGTCTTTCAAAGAATAGTTTGAAGCTGCAATCTACAATTATTAACGTTTGATATGTTACGTAGTTTTTTTTAAGCGGGATAGCTTACAAAAATGAAGTCTAGGCAGAAGTATCTTTTGTGGTAAGAGAAAGTCACAATGATCATGGTAAGTGTTTATTTTTCGTCTACAAAATTGAATAGACTCAACTCAACCTTCGTTTCATGAGTTAGGAAATCAACATTTGCAAGGTTGGAGTGGATCATGAGGTTGTCATAAATAACAATGAGGTTGTCATAAATAACAATGGATTGATAATTTTATTGAAAATTTAATTTATTATTTTAATTTTATAACTTTTTGGAGTGGACATTTGAAGAGTAGTGGAGAGTTATCAAACTTCAATCATGATCATAACTTCTTTTAGTGGGCATTTAAAGAGTAGGGAGGAGTTACTTGTTAATCATGACGGTAATGAATGGTGGGAGCTTCTTCGGTAGTAGGCTATAAATACCCACAAAATCGTATATAAAAATAAGACTAAGAATGAATGAGGTTGAACTCTCAAATTGAGATTTTTGGTCTTAAAATTTTGAGATTTTTGTGGCAGATTGGATCGAACCCGTCAATCAAATCTTGATAAAGTTAGTTTGCGAAGGACTCCATTTAGAACAAGGTGACTCAATTTAGAACAAGATTCCAAATCTTGCTTCTAGATCTTTGATACTAAGAGGTAATCTAATTCTAATTTTATCTCTTGGTTGATCCGAATTTTGTATAATGAAGTGTTAATTCCTTTAGTTCAAGAGTTCTTGCTTCAACAATTATCTCTTGATTAATCCGAATTTTGTATAATTAGGTGTTAATTCCTTTGGTTCAAGAGTTCTTGCTTCAACAAAAACTGGGGTGGTGAGTAGATGATTAGGATTGTCTTGCCAGTATACGAGTATCTCTACTAATTAATTTTATCGAGAAACAAAGATTAGTGAAAAGTGTTAGAAATGGGTAGCACTCACAATAAACTCCTATACTGATTTTGCCGTATGTGTCATGACCCGATTTTTGAGGTTTCAAATCATGGATCACAGCATGGACCGACTAACCGACAGATAGAAAAGTAAGATAAAATTTTGCATGAATTTAAAAACAAACACCATAACATTTAAAACATGAAAATGAAAATATTTATAATTTTAAAGTATTGTTAGGACTAAGGAATAAGATAGAAAAACGAATATCGACCCCAAAAAGAAAGACTAATGCTCCAAGAAAACCCTCCTTTATGAACGCACAACTCCCGAATGCTCATCGTATTATTGGCTTAATTAGTTAACACAAGTTCTCATTTGGGCCCTAGGAAATTTAAGCCTAAGTTGTGAAGATTTATGAGCTTCTGGGAGGTCCATGTCAAAAACCTACTCATGGTCTAGAAATCTCTCTTACATAGCATCGGACTGGTAGGCTTTAACTAAATCCTTGACCTAGTTAGTTACCACTAGTTTTCGATCTAGACCATAGGAAGTTCAAGCCTAAGTTGCGTAAACGAAGGCCCTAAAGTTTCAAACAACTCTTATGCATGTCATAAACCCAATCGGGGTTTGGAAATCGTTCTCTTTACTTATCAAATCTAATGGGGGTCTAGAAGTCTTTCACCTATTATGGCACCGTGGATCTACTGTATGACTTTCTAGTCTTCTGACTCAGCGATTAGATTGTCTTTGAAGTGAATCATCAGTATCTTAAATTTGGAGGGGCAACCTCATCGTAATTATCTAAAAAAGAACATTATGACATCATATCTCCTGAACATCATGTGTGTAAGTTCAGTTGGTAACTCTTCCACAGGACAATAAAGTCGCACTGAAATTTGGGGGAGCAACCCTATGAGCCAACCAACTATGAATTCTATCTGTGTGGTTTCTTGCCCCCTTTCAAGACGGGTTTACAGAACAACGACCCTGTTCAAAAGGTCCTTGACCATTTTCACACACGATAGTGGCACTTGAAGTAGCCTCGAAGCACTATCTTACTTGACTAATATGGGTCAAGCTTAATGGTACGGATTCTTGGACAAGGGCACTATTAAGTCAAATCTAGGTCATTAAATAGTACTAGTAATGTATCGGAGGGAGTAAAAAGCGGCCCAGCTCTGTTAGTAGGCTTGAAAAAACTATCTTGGTCTTTCTTGAATGTCATAATCGTCAACTAGGCTTCACGGCTTTGTAACTGGTTTTCTCAAAAGGCTTCATATAAAAAGAGATATTATTCTATGTCCATCCTCGTTATAAATCTACCATAAATAAGATGCGCTTTACAAAACATTTCTTTGTTTCAATCGGATTCTCAACAGAACCTGAAACAAATTTTTTCGACCACTGCATTAGGTGGAGATGGATCCAACAATTTGAGTTCGTCAATGTAAGAGTCTGTTATAGAAATTCAAGAAGAAGAAACTCAAAGAGAAAAATAAATTAAAAAAAAAAAAGTTAAAAAATGTAACCCATAAACTATAAAATATATATATATATATCTTACATAGAAGTGATTTACAAACAAAACAAACCGTTATTTAAAATAGATTTTGAAATTAGATTGAAACTATACTTTTATTTTCTTAAAAAAAAAATAGAAATAAAAAAGTTAAAACATTTGAAAAAAATTAGGATAGAATTGAAACTTTACAAAAGATTTAAAAAAAAAAATAGTTTTAAGACGAAAGTGTAAGGTTTTTTTTTTTTTTTTTTATAATTGAGACTAAATTAAAAAAAAAAGAAATTATATACATATATATAACTAATAAGCCATAACAAACTCACCGGGGCATAACCAATTCAGCGGATCATTCTCTGTCTGAATCGAAGCAAATTTCCATCTCATTTGGATCTTTCCTCATTCCCATCTTCTTCATCTTCTTCTTCTTCTTCTTCTTCTTCTTCTTCTTCCTCTTCCTCCTCGGGGTCCATCAATGGCGTCAACCCATTTCCATTCATAAATAATTCTTTCTTTTCCCTCCCAATTCTCTTCCATTTCCTTCTGATATTTGATCCCCCCATCAAGAAAACATGGATTCTGCGGCCTATTCGTCGCTTACCAGAGGACCATTCTCAAGCATAGGAGACTCCTCGGAAATGGAAGCAAATCTACCACTCAGCGATAGATTAAAGGGCTTCAAGACCTCCAAGTTCGACATTGATTCCTATGTCACCTCCAAATGCCAAGCCATGACCGAGAAGGTACCCACCCACCCTTCTTACTCTTATCTCCCTCTTCCTTTTCTAAATTCTAATCATTCATCAGGAAATCAAGCATTTATGCTCTTACCTTATCGAGCTCAAGAAGGCCTCTGCAGAGGAAATGCGCAAAAGTGTTTACGCCAATTATGGAGCTTTCATTCGGCGAGCAATTCCAATCATTTCCCCTTTCTTCTTTTGTTCTTCAAATATGATGCTTTTCAATGTCCTTTCTGTAGCCTCTCTGATGGGTTTTGTTTGGTTCTTCTTTTAATCCTTGCAGTACATCTCGAGAGATTTCAGATCTTGAAGGAGAGCTACTCCTACTAAGAAACCATTTATCCACTCAGGCAGCTCTCATTCATGGTTTAACAGAAGGAAACAGCATTGAATCTCTGTCTGGAGATATTGAAGTTTCAACTGTAGACAATTCTTCCAACGAGAGCAGTCAGCTCCCCAATAAAGATGAATGGCTGGTGGAGTTCTTGGACAGCCTTGAAGTTCTGTTGGTTGAGAAAAGAATGGACGAAGCTCTGGCTGCCTTAGACGAAGGGGAACGGATCGCTGAAGACACGACTCGTCGGAGGTCGTTGAGTGCAGCTGCACTCACCACATTACATACTGCCATTAGAAACCAAAGACACAAACTGGCTTGTCTCTTGGAGCAAACAATTTCCCAACCTTCAACACGAGGAGTGGAGCTTCGGTCTGCTGCTCAGGCTCTGAAGAAGCTCGGGGACGGCTCCCGTGCACACATGTTGCTGCTGAATTCCCATCAGCAGAAGCTGCAGCGAAGCTTGCAGAGTTTCCGGGCGTCGGGGAACTCGGGTGGCGGGATATACACAGCTGCAATATCCCAGTTTGTGTTCTCAACCATTTCTCAAGCAGCAAGTGATTCATTGGGAGTGTTCGGGGAAGAGCCAGCTTATGCCTCGGAGTTGGTAACTTGGTCTGTGAGACAAACGGATTCTTTTGCTATGTTCCTGAAAAGGTATGTCATAGCTTCATCGGCTGCTGTGGGGAGCATGAGAATTGCAGCTGAGTGTGTGCATATATGTATGGGGCATTGCTCTCTTCTGGAGGCTCGTGGGTTGGCTCTTACGCCAGTGTTATTCAGACACTTCAGGCCCTTCATTGAGAATGCTATAACCGCTAATTTGAGGAGAATTGAACAGACCAGTGCTGCCTTGGCTGCATCAGATGATTGGTTGCTTGCTTATTCCCCCCTTTCTTCTCGATTTTTCCCGGGGTCGTCTTCAACTTCGTCGCTGAGCAGTGTCGTCTCACAGCCAAAGCTTTCAAGAAGTGCACATAGATTCAACACAATGGTTCAGGTAATGATTCTATGTTCATATTGTCATTCTTTCATTTACAAATTATGGGTCGAGAGTTGTTGGGAAAGGAGGCTAATTAAGGAGCTGATCATGAGTTTATAAGTGAAGAAATAAATCTCTATCTAATGAGGCCTTTTAGAAAAACAAAAGTAAAGTCATTAGCTAAGCCATGAGAGCTAATGCTCAAAGTAGACAATATCATACCATTTGGAAGTTCATGATTCCCAACATGGTATCAGAATCATACCCTTAACTTAGTCATGTCAATAGAGACCTCAAATGTCGAACAAAGAAGTTGTGAGCCTCGAAGGTGTAGTCAAAAGTTACTCATGTTTCTAGCAAAGGGTGTGTACTATGTTCGAAGGCTCCAGGGAAGGAGTCAAAGCCTCGATTAAGGGAGGTTGTTCGAGGGCTCCATAGGCCTCAGGGGAGACTCTATGATGTGCTTTGTTCGAGGGGGGGATTGTTGGGAAAGAAGTCTCCATATCGGCTAATTAAGGAGTATGAGTTTATAAGTAAGGAATACATCTCCATTGGTATGAGGCCTTTTGGGAAAACCAAAAGTAAAATCATGGGAGCTAACGCTCAAAGTGGACAATAGCATACCATTGTGGAGGTTCGTGATTCCTAATATGGTATCAGAGTCATACCCTTAACTTAGTCAATAGAATCCTCAAATGTCGAACAAAAATGTTGTGAGCCTTAAAGGTGGAGTCAAAAGTGATTCAAGTGTCGAGCAAAGGGTGTACTTTGTTCAAAGGCTCCAGATAAGGAGTCAAGCCTCGATTAAGGAGAGACTGTTCAAGGGCTCCATAGGCCTTAGGGGGCTCTATGATGTGCTTTGTTCGAGGGGAGGATCGTTAGGAGAGGAGTCTCACATCGACTAATTAAGGAGTATGAGTTTATAAGTAAGAAATACATATCCGATAGTATGAAGCCTTTTAGGAAAGCTAAAAGGAAAGCCACGAGGAATAATACTCGAAGTTGATACTATCATGCCAGTGTAGAGGTTCATGATTCCTAACATTATGAACCAAACGAAGGTCTACCTCATTTATCTTGAGCCCAGTTTTGAAGTATTTCTGTCACTGATCTGATCTGCGATTCACAAGGTAGTAGGTTAAGTATTTTAAGTTCTGCTAGAATCTGAAAAATGAAGTATGATATCAGGAATTTGTAGAGGACATGGGATCACTTGAAAGCCTGCAATTGGATTCACTAACCTTGGAAGGAGTTCTGCAAGTATTCAACTCTTACATCAATTTGCTCATAACAGCTCTGTCAAGTTCAGTGGAAAACGAGATGAATCTGGAAGGATCAGCGACGAAGATCGTACGGCTGGCGGAGACCGAACCGCAACAGATAGCGCTGCTAGCGAACGCGTCATTGCTGGCCGATGAGTTGCTTCCTCGAGCGGCGTCCAAGATATTTCCACAGAACAGATCAGAAACGCCAAGGAAAACATCGAGCCGGCTACCGGAGCAGAGAGAGTGGAAGAGGAGACTACAGCGGTCGGTGGATCGACTGAGGGACAGCTTCTGCCGCCAACATGCTCTAGAACTGATCTTCACGGAAGACGGCGATACGCGGCTGAATGCACAGGTGTACCTGTCGATGGACGGGAATGGAAATGCAGAAGAGCCGGAGTGGTTTCCATCGCAGATATTTCAGGTGATTATCTATCAATCTCAGATGAATTCGAAATCAAAAGAGGGGAATCGAAGAAACCTGATTGTTTTCCGGTCGGTTTCAGGCGCTTTTCGCGAAATTGACGCTGATTGCAGGGATTGCGACAGAGATGTTCGTGGGAAGGGAGAGATTTGCGACTGTTCTTCTCATGAGACTCACTGAAACAGTGATATTATGGCTTTCTGAAGATCAAGCCTTCTGGGAAGAAATAGAGGTTGGGCCTCGCCCTTTGGGCCCTTTCGGCCTTCAGCAAGTAAGCTCTTTTTTTCTTTTTATTTATTTTTTAATTTTTTAGCTGATTAAAATTAATAATAATTTAAATTTAAGATTACTTTTTTTTTTTTCCTAAAAAATTATTTGAGAAATGGCATCCTCGTTCTCGTCCTCGTCCCCGTTCCCTCTCCATATAAATGGAGGAGACGTGTCCTTTGATTTGGGAGAACAGGAGAAGATTTAGATTCAGTAAGACCGAAAAATTCAAATTTCTCCCGAGGATTGTTGAAAGAAATAATTCCACACTGCCTAATTAAGGAGAAGATCATGAGTTTATAAGTAAGGAATGTTGTATCCATTGATATGAGACATTTTGGGAAAACTAAAAACAAAACTACGAGAGTTTATGTTCAAAATTGACAATATCATACTTTGTGGAGGCTGTGGTTCCTAACATGGTACTAGAGTCGTAGTCAAAGATGACTCATGTATTTTGTGATGTATTTTGTTCGAGGGCTCTAGAGAAGTAGGCCTCAAGGAGCGGCTTTATGGTGTACTTTGTTCAAAACATTAACTAACTAAATAAGGAATACTATCTCCATCGTTATGTGCCCTTTTGAGAAAACAAAAAGTAAAACCACGAGAGCTTCTGCTCAAAGGAGATAATTCCTAATAGAAGAAACTCCGAGAAAACTCGAAAAATAAAGTCATTAGTTTGCATTATTTGGTTGCAGCTATACTTAGACATGGAGTTCGTGATACTTTTCGCATCACAAGGCCGATATCTATCCCGAAATTTGCATCAAGTGATCAAGAACATCATAGCAAGAGCCATAGAATCCTTGGCTGCTACTGGAACAGATCCTTACAGGTTTTATATCTTTTTTTCTGCTCATATTATCAAAAACAAATGCCCATTACCTTTGTTGTGTGGGCAGTGCTTTGCCGGAGGACGACTGGTTCGCCGAAGTTGCTCAGATTGCTATCAAAATGCTCACCGGAAAAGGCTCCTTTGGTAACATCGATCGAGACGTCACCAGCCCGACCGCTTCTGTTTCTGCAAAATCCATATCTTCTGTTCATTCTCATGGAAGTAATTAGAAAAGGGTATCATCTACTTGATTCTTTAGTCCTTGGATTCATGCAACTTTGTAATTAGTGTTCTTCCTAATTACCAATTATTTGGAAGCTAAACGAAACCACAAATGCTCTTTTTACCATCGTAGTCATGCTGGTTGATCCCTGCTACATATCAGTTCCACGCACCTTCGTCGTGCTGAGTAATATGGATTTAGTTTGAGTTACTGATAACCACAAGTCAAGCGTATAATTATTTAATCGGTTTTCGAGGTAAGTGATCTTAGTTCTAGAATGTTATATGCTTGATCGGATGATTGTCTAATATATGTTATGCCATGTAAATTCTTGAGATGAGTTATGATGTTATTCTCGTATGAATGCTATTATGATTTATAATCATAAGTACCTTCTAGACTTGGCCTTCGACTAGTATACACTCACGTTGTTGATATACCACGGAGGGAGGGGAACACACATAGTATCATGGTGTACATAATATCGTATCATAACATCGTAGTACACATGTTCATACTAATCATAACCGAAAAGTATCTTAATGCACGTGAACCGACAATATGCATGAGGTCCCCGTAGTTTAAAATCCTAGCACATGTCTGTGGTGCAAGTTATATCTTCATTCATTTCATATGTAACATAATCATGTTATGTCGTTTTAACCAAACTAGCAATTAAAATTACTTAAGCCGAAATCACTGGACTTCCTTAATGCTAGCTTAAAGCTGACTCTAGCCATGGTGGTTGTTTAGTATTAGCATGGCAAGTGCATTACTCTTAATATCCACCAACCTTAAGGAGAACTCAAGCCCCATATTCATTTTTTGCTTAACTTTCTGACTTCGTCAGATTTTAGGCGAGATTTGTCTTCGCTAGCCGAACATTGCTCGTGCAAAATTCAAGCTTGTTCGGCCGCACACGCCTCCTGCGTGTGTATGTTCGATCATCTGTGACACAACCAACTTGCCTCTACACCAGGCCAAGTCATTCGACTCAACCTTGCCTCTACTCAGGGTCAAGGTCTCTCAATGCAACGTCACATAAAACATATCTTGGTTCCCAATCAATATGGCCCTCATGTCTTGACGTCATCCCAAGTCAAGGGGTATCGTTGGTCATTGCAACTCACTCGGTCATGCCACCGAGAACGGGCCCACGTGTTGCTCATAACATCAGGACATCTCAAAAATTCATCCATCCGGGTTTTATTGAGGCATTGGCCCTCCCATACCCATTCCATGTCATTTACAGATACCATATCGGATAGCGGGAGCAAAATCCAACACACCAAGAGTGTATATTGAAGATAAGTCGAGGCATACACAAAGTTCGAGAGAATGAGGCGATTGAAGGGAATGAGCTCTTCATCCACATAGCGAATCTCAACATGAGTGTCGAAGACAAACTCGAAGAGGGCTGGGTACGATCCCAAGCCATAACTTCAAAAGTCGGGCTTTCGATATAAGTTTCAACATGTAGCTAGGGAATTAAGTCTATCGATAAGAAAGATGAAAGCTCACCAAACTTGGTGTCAAACTAATACTCGACGAACTCGCATAAGGCCGTATGTCCACTCGCCAAAATGACGTCTACTCGTGAAGGATTGAAAATGCCTCAAAACATACTTATAGGGGGAGGCATGGAGTTGGTTGTCCACCCCTTCTAGGTGCCTAAACAAGCTACTTTGTGGCTCATGCGTGTATCGCAACGTAGGTGAGCAGTCTCAAACGTCTTCCTTTAAAGAGAGTCTTTCAAAAACACTATTAGACGACACGAGTGTGCCACCATTTTCTAAGCATTTTTCTCTGCTATGTCATTTTAAAACTTATACTCAATAAAATTTTGGAAATTTCAACTTCAAAACAATATTTGAGAAATTAATAAGGGTGTTATAGTCAAATTGAAAAAAAAAAAAATTGTTAGTAACCGGATATAAACATGAATTTCAGTTGAGTCAAATAGGATGAACATAAAAGCACCAAGTTGAGACTAAAAAGGGTAAGTGAACATGTTGTTAGAATGCCTGTAAGCTGCAAAATAACACATAATTTGTAGCTTAGTTGCATGTTATGAATTATAATATGATATTTTAATGAACTTTTATGATGTTTATACTTCCTATTAGTATTTATTATGTCAATACGATTATGTCTATGCCTTGTGGGACATCGTGTTTATGTCTCGAAGAACCTTAAAACTTAGAGTTCACCAATTTTCGAGATAGTAATTTTTCCACCAACACATTGCCTTCGTTTGCTTGTGACATCCAAGTCAATTATCACAATTGTCGTAGGAATGAGAATCCATTTGAGAGCCGAACGGACGAAAGCCCCTTATCTAGAATTGTACAACCACAAATCACCATTTTCTGAAGTCTCGCAGAGAAACCTTGAAATTGAACGAGATTTCTATATGTAATATAATGACTTTTCCAACCATTAGAAGTTGGATTTATAGCTCAATTTAGAAATAAAACTGTAACAGTCAAAGCTCATCGCTGATAGATATTTGTTTCTTTGGGCTTTCCCTTTCGGACTTCCCTTAAGATTTTTAAAACGCATCGACTAGGTCAAGGTTGCTAGGGAGAGGTTTTCATACCCTTTTAAAGAATGTTTCGTTCTCTTCCCAATCAATGTGAGATCTCACAGTTCACCCCTCTTTGGGGCCCAACGTTCTCACTGATACTTGTTCTCCCCTCCAATCGATATGGGATCTCACAATCCACTACCCATCGAGGTCCAGTGTCCTCGCTAACAATTGTTCTCCTCTCCAATCGATGAGAAATCTCACAATCCACCTCTTTTGAGCCCAACATCGGTTGGGGAGAAGAACAAAACATTACTTTATAAATGGTGTAAAAACCTCTACCTTTCGAGGGAGTCTAAAAGAAAAAACCCATAAAAAACCATATCTACGAGCGATGAGCTAAATCATCACAAAGGAATTAAAAAATGCATTCCCATTCTTGCCCATTCGCTCACTCAGCCAAACGGATAGCCATTTCCTCCCTTTTTCAAAACCAAACTGATTATATGTCAAAGAAGTTTTAAAGAGCAAAATAACCATTTGAAAAGTTCATAACCAAAGTACTGACTAATGAAGTTGCTATAAACGAAATACAACTATACAACAAGTTGTGCATTTTAGAGTACGCCCGAAATCAGCAACAAGTTACGCATAAATTAGATCGTATTCCAACAAAAGTTCAAAGGAGATTGAAATTTGAAAACGAGAGAAGCAACTTTAGCACTATACAAAATCATTACCCACTACAAACCCCTCCTTTCAACATAGAATGCAGCAATTCATACAAGGTTGATGCTTCAAATTGTCTTTGCCTACGTTGTCCTTGACTTGTGAGCTGCAGCAAGCTCGACAGTTATGATGAAGCTCGACTTCCCGGCTTCCCTCATATATCGTACATCTCCGTTCATCAGCTTCACCAGCTTTCTACTGATGAGCAGACTGAAACCCTCTTCGGACGCGTCCTCCTCACTTCCAAACATCTCGTTCAGCAACGACTCTGGTATACCTCCTCCAGCATATGTTATCCTAATCCGAAACAAATACTTTAGTTTCAATGAGTAATTATCAAATGCTTATAAGGTATAAAATGAGTTTATAATTTATATATACGTATATGTAAAACCATATTTTCGTACAAAAAATAACAGGATAAGGAGTAAAAAAGAACAGCGAGAATCTACAACTATTAAGAATATGAAACAAGATAGCCGGGAACCAAAGTAATCCACCGATACAAGTTGTAACAGCCCAAACCCACCACTAGCAGATATTGTGCTCTTTGGGTTTTCCCTTCCGGGCTTCCCCTCAAGGTTTTTAAAACACGTTCGTTAGGGAGAGGTTTCCACACCCTTATAAAGAATAGTTCGTTCTCCTCTCCAACCGATGTGGGATCTCACAATCCACCCCCTTAGGAGCCCAACGTCCTTGCTAGCAAATCGCCCAGTGTCTGGCTTTAATACCATTTGTAATAGCCCAAGCAAGTGGTTTGATCCCTCATAAATAATGTTTCGTTCTCCTCTCTAATCGACATGGGATCTCACACAAGCAGTATAAATAAACAATCTACTCTTATATCTAATTTTGGTCCAGATTTACTCCACTTGTTTATATACTCAAAAAAAAAAAAAAAAACGTAACCATCAAGGTCCATAAACCTTCAAAATATTCAGAAAACTTCTAAAAAATATCTATTTTGATTTTTTATACTATTTTGCTAAATAATGTTATCCCCCATCTCTACCCATATACGCTATGTAGTTCAAACACATGCCTTGTTCAACACCTACACATGCATAAATTAATATCATCCAGATACATACGATCAATGGCAAAATAATGGTGAGGTTCAAAATGATATTTGTTCCTTTTAAAAAAATTTAGAACAGAAAAAGACATTCTGAAAGTGAAAGAATCCTAAAAATTAGGAATCTAATATATTCTATGTAGTTAGCAATAAAGCTCGTACCTGAACTCCAAATGCACCAGATGCACCGACTTTCCTAATTGATTCTTGGTCACATCGGTTGAAATTGTTAGTTGGCATCCTGAAGGCGCATAACTAACTGATATCAATAGAAAGTCCGCCAAGACTTGTTGAAGCCTTAAACTATCTCCATATAAGGTCTCGGACATAGCCTCTTCTGGAGTCTCATTAACTATCTGGATACCCTTTCCTTTAATCTTTAGCATCACTTGACTAATTGATACCATCAATACTTCATGCAATGTAAACTCGTCCATTTCTAAATCAACAAACCTGTGTCCAAAAAAAAAGATAATTAATAATGAATCTGTTCTTCTACCCACAATAGTAACAATTCATTGCAAATATACCAACCTTGATGAAGTATAAAACTAGACTTCAGAAAAAGAAAAGTGTAGCAAAATTCCGGTGAAATCAACAATATATTTAGAAAAATAGAGAACTATTTTACTGATACATTGAAAGTACCATACCCATCAATAATTTTATCGATGTCCGACTCATCGAGAACCTTGGAGATCTGCTTTTGACAGAGTCCGCTAGTACGCAGAAGTTCTTTTTGTTCTACTCCCAACTCGGTGCGCTCCAATAATCTTCTTGAAAAGATTATCCCAGATAGAGGATTTTGAACCTGTCTTTTTATGTATCCCAATGCTCTCAATCTCTTCAATGCAGTTTGCTCACATAAGCGTTGGATATTTAGTGCTTGTTGCAACTCATGACTAGGAAGCTGCAAAAAGCAAAAGAACCCTGTAACCGCGCCATCTTTATCCAAGATCTTATTGACACATAGAAGACATTCCACGTACATCCCGTTCCGAGCTAAGAAACCAAAGGAAGCCTTCTCAGGATCTTGACCACACATGGCATTGTTCAAGACAATCCCAAGATTAACAAAAGCTTCTTGATTCTTTAAACGACAACATGATTTGTGAACACCAAAAACCTCTCCCAAAAGCATCTTATCGATTACTTCTTCACGTGACCACCCAGTTAATTTCGCCATTGCAGGATTCCACTCTGAGCACCATCCAAATTCATCTGATCCAAATATTGGAGGGATTAATGGATTGGGATTTTGTACAATGGCTTTGTAATCGCCTTCTAATCGAGTGAACTTGTCCATTACCATCTTCTGACCAGTGATATCTTGTGCTACAAAACACACACCCACGACATTTTCACGCAAGTCCCTACTTGCACAAGCATTTACAACTAGGCTGATGGAGCCAACCTCAATGTGAGAACCGTGTGTCTTGATCTCGAATTGAACGTTTTGCTCTTCTTGTCCTGTTGAGAAAGAGTGGGAAAAGGTAAGGTTAAAAATGTCACAATGTGAACTTGCAAAATAGTAAAGTAATAATTTAAGTGATTATCTTGTTTGTCTTTAGGTCAAAATATAAACATGTTGAAGAGGAAAATTAAACAAAAATACCTTGCAATGCCAAGAACAACATCTTCCTGACAACTTCTACAGATGAATCTTCCACTAACGTAAGTAAATGCTTGCCGATAGCTTTATCCACAGGCAGTCCAGTCAATTCAGCAATTTTTGTATTCCACCCATTAATTAACCCATCTAAATCAACAGCTAAAATCGGCACAGTAGCTGTCTCGATTAACCGGACCATCTCACTTGTTACTGATTCCAATTCTTGCCTCCCTTCAATTTTTAGGTCACCAAGTGTTGTTTGAATTGATTTTCTATTTATTTCAGTTGCATCTGTATCCTTAAAAGTATTTCTAAGGATAAGTTGTAAAGAGTGGATTGCATCCATCTCATAGTCCTTCCAGGGCAAACTTCTTGTCTTGACTACTTCAAGGAAAGCCTTGAAAGATGATCTTGGATGCATTTTTCTAGCATCATCCTTTTGACCATGTTCATGCTTTGCTCCACCCCATCGAATCTCTGAAGCAGTGTGAGATCGAAACCAAAAAATCATGTCATTATTAGTTATCCTCACAGCTGCCATCCCACACACTTCATCTCCTAAAGCAATAGCTCCTGGGTATCCTGCATCATACAAACTGTCAGTACTCAACCCCGTTGAATCCATATGATACTCGGAAAGCCACGAGGCTATGTCCAGCAACTGGAAGTCATTAGGTGTCATTCCTAATCGCCAAATTTTTTTCTTATATAACAAGGCAGCCCCATCAGATTTGACAAGATCCATTATGTTAGGACTCCTCGACACAATACCTAAAGGAGCATCACGCATTAGCATGTCGCACAAGAGTGTCTGCGTACGCAGAATATTCTTTTCTATAATTTGATTTTCCAACTCTAATTCCTTGTTCACATGAATAGCAAATACTTGAGCTAGGAACTCACAAGCATACCTAAGAGGAAACGGAACAAATCTGGGACTTGAATTATGACATACTACCAAGCCCCATAATCTCTTTCTCTTTTGTTGCTGCAAAGCAGGGCCTTCATTTTCTTCATCCCCTTCATTAACCACAACTGCCATAACCAAAGAGGCTATAGAGTTCATGTTTTCCATATACTGTAAATGGCAACTGTGTGGAGCTCTTAAAGTTGAACCACATAAAGTTAGATCAAACTGTAATTTCTCATCTTGGAGTACTTTTAAATGTTTTGCACGACAATCAACAATCATCCGGACCTTATTTTTCATGAACAAAAAACGTGCAGCTTGAGGAATGTCAGTTGCTGGATAATGCAAACCAAGATATGGCTGAAGGCCGGGCTTTGTGACTTCAGAGATCACTTCCCCGTGATCATCATCATGGAATTTATAAGCCATAACTCGATCATAACCTGTTAGTTCAAAAACTTCTTGAACCATTGTGTCACAAAGCCTAGCCATGCTTCCACTAGGCAAAGACTGCAATCTAGTAATCGCTTTGGCGGCAAGTTTATATGATTGTAGAGCTCCAGCTGCAGTCACTGGACCTTCATAAGGCTTCACAGGCTCAAAGTCAATGATTAAGCTTCCAGTAACACGATGAACAATTGCATAGAAGGGTTTTCCAGAAGTCTTGCAATGCACCAGGATAGGATTAAGAAGTGTAACCTCTCCAAAGCCCAAGGCCTTCAACAGTGCAGAAGCACTAGGTGCAGTGAAAATAGTCCTTACATCTGTGCCAATGCCAAGAACAGGGTAATCCCCCATGCTTGGGACAGCATGGCTCACCATGGTCAACATTTCAGGGGCATTTTCACTATACGCAATAACCTTGAATGTTTTGTCATCTAAGGCCAACAAGCAACCAAATGGTTGGATAAGTTTGCCTTTCTGAATATGATGGAGATAAGCTGTAGTAACTTTGTCTGACCTAGGCTGTTGATCTCCGCTAACATCACTAGTGACACGCACTGAACTTGAGTAGTCAAACGAATTCCCAGATTCCTCAAAATCAGCTTGCAGCTTTGCATCAACAGATGTTTGAGCAATAATTCTAGTGCTATGTCTGGACCGCCCAGAGTTGCTAGAAGACTGACTAGGTCTAGAGGTAGACATGTTTCTCCAACCTGAAATAAGGGGAAATTGAAGCAAAAGTTGAAGACTACGTAGAACAAAATTCTAACGAAAATTACAATCATAAGCGTTCATGAGTATGAACATAAGTTCTCATCTCCATCACAATTCATATTCATAGTACCTTTTGAGATCTAGCAAAGTAAAAACTTCTAATTCCAGAGTCAATTACCGCAAACTTCTAATTCCGGACTCAACCCAAATGATTGAACAAGAAAAAGGAGAAATAAAACCCTCAACAAGCATATAAATGATTTCTTATTCTAATACATTATCATGTTACTCTTGAAAAAGGAAGCACATGGACAGGAGATTGCTGTAATCCACTTAGTTAATATCCAAAAATCAAAAACTGTGTTCAAATTTGTGACTGAAACAGAGAGAAATTTGACATATGGCAAAAAGATGGCATGTGTGTGTGTACTCTTTGGTTCCTTCAGGCTAAAGTAAGCTAGAACGACTCTTCGTTTATCTTTTGGCTAAGGTCAGCCGAAACGTTCACAAAATCAATTCACATTCTGTGCACAAACTCCGAGCAACACACAGTCTTATTTCTTTTGTTCTTTTCCTGGACGCACCAGGACGAGCTCCAAAGTTAACCATTCATTAGCCGCCAATCATTGAAACTATTGAAAGAAGAAAAAAACAATACAAGTAGTTCAAATTAATCTCAGTATCTAGACATTACCATATCAGTTCACCGACTGAACTCACCAGTAGCATCACAGTCAACAAATTTCATCTCATTTAACCCCACACACTCACAAATTCCTAACCTCAAAACTCAGAAACACAAAATATAAAAAAAATGCACCAACAGCTAATCATCGCCAAAGGAGCGATTCACGAACCAGAAAGAACAAAACAACTTACCTCGATCTCCACTCACATAAATAGGGCAAAGAAGAACAACAATAAACGAGCCAAGAGACGACGAACTAAACAGAATACAAACGGCAACTACAAAAATCAAAACATTCCAGCAAGAAAACTCAAGAAAAAGAAATATAAATGAACACCAACGAACCAAAAGAAGAACGATTTTCCGGTGGGACAAGAGTGGCGCCGGTGAATCAGAGGGACTGAGAGTGAAAGTTGAGAGGCATGGTGGAGGAGAATTTAGAGCGAGAAAGGAGATGAGGAGAGAGAAGGCGTAGATCCCAAGTTGGAAGTGGCACTAAGGGGTTGGGTAAATGGTCGAGAATGCCCTGACGGTGACGGAAAAAGGTCCGGCGTGGAGCCCCATAACGACGAACCGGTTCGGGAACAGACTAGACCACCCGGTTCGCTCTGACACCTCTGATAAAACCGAAATCAAATATCCTCGATATGGGGTTCCTTCGTCCTATCTAACAAATTCCCCATTTCTTTTTAATTCCAATTCCAATTAATATTAAAACCATCCTATCCTCATATCCATTCGACCGTCGTTCCCGTGCTTTTTAGATATTTTAAAAGTTTCGTTAATATCCTTTTAACCTCACAAACAATTTTTCTAATGATCATGAGTGTCTTGTCAATGACCCACGTACCGTGTCAAGCTCCAAACAGTGATTCACGTACAACGTCAAGCTCTAAACAGTGATCCATGATGAAGAAACTGTGAATATTGGTCGAGTATTTGCAAGTTACGAGCCATTCAGATTGACTATTTACAGGCTATCCGTTCTCGATTGTTACTAGAATCAGATTTATTATCTATGGCCAAGATTGATCCACGTTGACGAAACGATGAGCTAAATTTGGGCATGTGTCACCTCAATTACCACACATGATATTAGGATGGTTTAGAAGTTGCAAATTGCAATAGCTATGAGATATCTAACATGGATTGAATATACCCCATTTTTCTTGTCCTTCAAATAGGGTCTAGACATGTCCTATCATTTGATATTGATGTTTCAAGCAAGCAAAGCGTTTTCAGAATTGTATTCGACCCTTTTCATGTTCATTTTCTTCTTCCGAGTTAGATCTTTTTTTTTTTTTTTTACCTTGAAATTTTCGTTCTAAATTGTTCGTGGGCATGTCCAGTTTTTACGAAGTTGTGGTCTTTAACCAAAAATTGTTTTAGGTTTTTGTGAGGCCTGAAGTTAGGTTTGCACGATCTCTAATATCTATTTTTTGTTAATCCCGAGATATTGGATTGTGGGATTTTGAAGCAAATAGTTTGAGTTGAGCTATTTGAGGGACGTTTTGTAGTCTCGGTTGTAATAGAATTTCCCGTTATAAAAGATTGGATGTAATCTCGAATTTGGGGTGAATCACTATAAACTTTGTTTTTGTGAGTCGAGAAAAATTAAGTGATATTTTGAGAAAATTTTGCCGAGAGAGATCATAAGATAGAATGGGCATCTACTAACGAGAACAAATTTTATTTGTAATACTCCATGCTCAAGATTCGAACACTAGATTTGGTATCTAATGGCTCTAACATTCTTCTGTATCTCTTACGACATGACCACATTACCTACTTAACTTGAACTACGATTCCTTGTAGCATGTTTTGTCCTCACTCATTTGCTTCTTAGAAAAAATTCTTAAGATATCGTCAAATATCGAACATGTTCAAAGTCGAGCACTCTTAATTTTGATATTCATATGATTGAGCCTCCGAAGAAAGAAGATACGTCTTATTTGTATTTGTATGGATAGTAATGATTTTAAATTCTCGGGATGACTCAAATTAGGACGTGGTCTCAGATCGTTCATGTACTCCATCACGTTACATCATTAGACCGAGGGGGGTTGCATAGACAAAGAGTGACAAAGGCCCATAACCTCATGAATTATTGGTCTTTGAAGAGCAAAACATATTTATATTTTTAATGTTTTGGTTGAGTGTGGCCATGTTCCAGCCCAGCTGCGCCTGTCTCAATTCTGGTTGATAATTATTTAGGTCTTTGTCCTTTTAAGGTTATTGTTTAATCTGAAAAACAAATTTAGAGGTTTACTTAATAATACTTTATATTCTTCCAAAAAAAAAAATATAGGTTCTCTTTAAGTACACGAGTTAAAAAAGGAAATGTATCAAAGATTTTCTCTAAATTTCGACATAGTTATGAGTTATGGTAATGTTTTTTGACTCACTTAAGCCCGTAGGTTTTGTAAATTTCGCAAACTAGATGTTCGGAGAGGTTCTTAGTCTAGTATATATCCGGGTGGTGTAACCAACGAGGCCCACTGGTAGATATTGTCATCTTGGGCTTTCCCTTTTCGAGCTTCCCCTCAAGCTTTAAAATGAGTCTATTAGGGGAAGGTTTTCACACTCTTATAAATGGTATTTTGTTCTCCTCCCTATCCAATGTGGGACATCACAATCCACCCCCTTTCGAGGCCCAGCGTGCTCGCTAGCAGTTGTTCCTTTCTCCAATCGATGTGGAACTGCCACTAAATCCACCCCCTTCAAGGTCTAGCATCCTTACTGGCACACCGTCTCGTGTCTACCTCCCTTCAGGGAATAGCGAGAAGGCTAGCGGACAACATCTGCTAGTAGTGGATCTGGGCCGTTACAAATGGTATTAGAGCCAAACACCGGACTACATGCCAGCAAGGAGGCTATTCTCCAAAGGGGGTAGACACAAGACAGTGTGCCAGTAAGGACGCTGGGCCCTAAAGGGGGTGGATTTGGCGGGAGTCCCACATTGATTGGAGAAAGGAAAGAGTGTCAGCGAGGACGCTGGGCCCCGAAGGGGAGGGTATGAAAACCTTCCCCTAGCAGACGCGTTTTAAAGCCTTGAGGGAAGCACGAAAGGGAAAGCCGAAAGAGGACAATATCTGCTAGTTGTACATATTTGAACTCATCAATACGAACTCTCAAAGTATGAGTCTTAAATTAACAAAAATGTTTCCTTTGGACACTAAATATTATAAATATGGTATAGTAGACCATTTTAAAGGAGGAACGTTATGTAATGGGTCTAGACATAGTTTAGGGACATAAAATTCTAAGTAGCCAATTTAGTCTTCTCTCAAGTTTTACGAGTAGGAAATGCTTGGAAATCAATATGAGCTTAAGTTAAGTAAAATTTAAATGAATATGGAAGAATTAGGAGAAGAACCGAAAGTTAAGGATCTAAACCGAACGTTTTGTTGGGAATCAAATAACCATGAATGATTTATGCTTGTTATTACGAAATGTTCATGACTTATGAGCTTGGATCAGGGCTTAAAAATTTATGATAAGAATTATGTCGCAATTGTTCCTTAAGAATAACCCTTTGGAGCAAGAACACGTGAAACTAAGAAAACACTCTAAGTCCACTAAGACATGAAGACTACTAGGTACCACTCAGAAACAAAATACAAAGATCAACAGACTTATAACTCAAGAACTCGTAGACCTCTCACTGTACAACATGTTCATGACTCGAACTACACTGCTTGAAATGTAACAAGCTTTGGGTGTAGGTTTCCGAACTGTATTGCAAAGAATGCATGAAGTCCTGGGTGCACATTTAGACTACGCCACTTGGAGTGCATTAAGTATTTACATAGGTTTTTATTGTGTTGCTTGGAACCGTGAAGCCTTGTACACAAGTTATTAAGTCCATGTCTCATACCATAAATCCTAGAGACCGTGTTTCAAGGAATAAGAAAAAGGAACACGAACCAAGAACCAATGACAAGAAACTAGAGAAAGGATCAAGATTCAAGTACTCAAACAAACCCACAAATTATTAAAAAAAAATTAATGAAGGGTATCCTGAGGAGGTTCGGACGTGAAGACAAGTTAATCCTACTCTTCATTGGACCCTTCAAATTTTTAGATTAGATTAGATTAGTGATGTATCGATTGGCCTTGCCATCATCCTTTTCTATTATGCATAACATGTTTCACGTGTCTATGCTCTATAATTACGTAATCGACCAGACCCATGTGATGGACTATGAGCCTTTGTCATTAGATGAGAGCCTAAGTTTCAAGAAATTACCCATACAATTTTTAGCTCAAAAAATAAAGACCTCGCACACTAGAGAGATAACATTCGTCAGGTATTTTGAAAAAATTACAAGTCACAAGATGCAATATGAAAACGGGAAGATGAAATAATAGAGAAGTATCCCGAGTTACTCTATGTTTAAGGTACTTCCAAGAACGAAAAATAAATTAAAATACACCTCACTTTCTTTCCTCGTTAATTTATGTCATGATTTTAAGCTATAAGAACCTCATGCATTTTTTTGTATCATATGCTTCTGGATATTTTTTTGTTGTAATTAGTATGAATGCGTACCTTACGACATTTATGTACGCCATGATGTTAAGCAGGCTCTTTCCATTCAAGATGTCTGGTAGAGTGAGCATGGGCTAGTTTGACGAGCCAAGTCCAAGGGTACGTATACGAGCCTACCTAGTGGGTTCATGTGCGCTTGTGTAGACCATGGTAAGGAAGTACTACACATAGACACTAAAAAGTAGCCTAAGGCCATGTCATGATGTTTTTATAAAATGATAGATCCCTCCCTATGGCATGTTTTTACATTTTCTGACCCCAATAATAGGGCTACTTATTGAGTATTTCTTAAAATACTCAAGTCACGTGCAAGTGTTATTTTTCGAGTAAAGATAAGGCGTATCTGCACGGATAACAACGTCGCGGAGATGACCATGGAATTGAAGTTAGGGTAGATGCATTCATGCTATTTATAGTCATTAGGTTAGATCACGACATTATTTTATTTAAACTTTAACGTTATTTATTTTCCACTATGTTGTTTTAAAGATTTGATTACGAACGTTTAAGCTTATGACATCGTTTATGAAACATTTTAAATGAATATTTCCGTACACAAGTCATGTCAAGCATGCAATAATGATCTTGTTTTTAATAGAAAAATATGGTTGTCACAAGGTGTATAGTATATGAATAAGGTTGAGTGTCTTATCCCGATAATATTATTGATATGGCCCAATTTGTAATTTTACAAATAGTTTGATCCAAATCGTTCATGTGGAGATATGTGAATGGGGATATCCTATACAATGAGCTTGTATGAGATTTGACCCTGAAATATTTTATCTTTTTTATAAATCCATTAATTGAGAAGATTAATATTTCAAACGATAATCATATGCGACTCGATCTTAATCTTGGGTGAGTTAGGAACTCTTGTCGGTAAGAGCTTGTCTTTTGATTTGCATAGGTGAGAATAACATTTGTAGTTGATTCAAATATGTTTACTATTTTATAATTTGATTTATT